ATATACAACGTGATCATCTATTTATACACGTACAACTAACCGACTCAATACTTGAAAGGAATCTACTACTAACTAACTGTCTAATAGCTAATAGTAATTTACTGAACTAATTAATCTCTAGGTTAGTTACTAACAACTTTCATATTCTCAACATTTCCGAAGGGTTGTAACTTTTTCAAATAGTTTTGACCTTTTCGATAAGGCACAACAAAAATTTGTTCACACTATCCTTTGTTGTCTATAAATAGAGGGATTTCCTCTCACTTTAAAACAACAAAATTATAAGCTTCTTATTCTTCTTCTTTTTTCCCTTCTTTTGCACAATTAAATATTCGTGTATTTTGTTCATGTTGAGTGGCTCACTGACACCATTGCTTATATTACAGATCATGTATTCTTTTTACAGTCATAAATTTATGCTTATGTTATTAATGATAAATGATAAGATGTTATAATTTTCATTTTCCTTTACATTATTAATGTTCGTTACAACGTAATCTTGTATGTAAAATAATATGGTGTTTTAGTTTTAATGACCGATAGTTTTTAAGTATTATTTTATAAATTTCGTGATGTTAAATTTCAGCGCTTCGCGTGAATAATTTTACTAATTATTTTATAATTTTACACCAGATTCAATTAAGATACATCCCATTTAAAATATCAAAAATTAGAGCTCATATATCAATTGCGTCTCGTAATTCAAATCCCCTCCAAATATATCTCTTTTTATCACATGGTTCCTCTTGTTAATGAATATCATTACATTTCATGAAGCAGTCCACATTAAAATTTTGAAGTGTTGTAATTGATTTCATCCATTTTTTTATGTCACATATCTAATTTAATAAAGTTTTCAATAGTTATTTTTTTAATTTTCAAAGAGTTATATATCAATATCAAGATTTTTTTTTTGAAGGTTCGTTGTTTCAGTTCTTTTAAAATATTTTCATTATTAAAAAAATTATAATCAAAAGAACTATTATTCGACACAATTATAATCTACACATCAACCTTCATTTGATTTGGACTCACCCAAAAATTCTAAATTGCAGGGTCTTTTTCTATAGTTATCACTCATAAAGATAGTGACATTTTAGTTGAAAATAGACACTTCAAAATTGTTACGTGTATCTAAATCAGATACATTGAATTATTATGAAATTACGATAAAAAAATAATAATCAATATTAACACAATTAACGATAATGAAAACCCACCTAAGCCAAGTGCACCTTTATTGATTTAGATGTTCATGAAAAAATTAATGTTGACTAATGTTTTGCTTCTACTAATATTATTTTGATTCGTCAATTCAGTTATTATTGAATAAAATATATCTATGACTTATTTTTATCTTTTTATATATGAATATTTTAAAATTTATACCCAAACATACTTACTAGATAAACTAATGTAAATTTATGTTGTTTCCTCTTTAAATTCACATAATTAGAGTTCTCAAATTCGAATTTACTTTGAATATAAAATCTCATATTAGAAATAGCGAGTGGAAAATCGAAAAAGAAAAGAAAAGTGTATTCGACTCCACGTGTATATGCAAACCGAAGAAAAAGGGAAAAGAAAAAGAACATAAAAGTCCCTTCTCTCTCTTTTCACACTTCACACAGAAACAGTGTTGAGAAAATCATTTCTCTTTCGCCTAAATTTTCTCTCTACTTCATCCATGGCGGCTCCAATCCCTGAAAATCTCAGCCGTGAACAGTGTCTTTACTTAGCCAAACTCGCTGAACAAGCCGAGCGCTATGAAGAAATGGTTCAGTTCATGGACAAACTAGTCCTCAATTCCACGCCGGCCGGCGAACTCACCGTTGAGGAACGGAATCTCCTCTCCGTCGCTTACAAAAACGTTATCGGCTCTCTTCGTGCCGCCTGGCGTATTGTTTCCTCCATTGAACAGAAGGAGGAATCGCGGAAGAACGAAGAGCACGTGCATCTTGTTAAGGAGTATAGAGGTAAAGTTGAGAATGAACTTTCGCAGGTTTGTGCTGGTATACTCAAGTTACTCGAGTCAAACCTTGTTCCGTCTGCTACTACCAGTGAATCGAAGGTGTTTTACCTTAAGATGAAAGGTGATTATTACCGGTATCTTGCTGAGTTTAAGATTGGAGATGAGAGGAAGCAGGCTGCTGAAGACACTATGAATTCTTATAAGGCTGCTCAGGTACTGTTTGAGTTGACTTTTATTTCCTATTTTGCGGTATCTTCTAGGTTTTGAGTTTGATTTTTGTTTGTGCTTTTTACTGTTCTTCAGATTAGGGCTAATTACTGTTCGGTTTTCTTATTAACCTGCTGCGCTAGTAGGATTTTCATTGAGATCTGAAATTAATGTAGAAACTGTAGATCAATTTGATGTGAATGTAGTGAAGTAAATTTAGCCATTCTGATCTGGATTTTATGTATTTGCGTTGAAAATGTAGTGGAGATTGGTACTAATAAAAATAAACTAGTGGGGATTGTTTAATCGAGTTTGATTTTTCCATTCCATTATAGTTTTTCTTACTATTGTGATTGAAATTGTGAGAAATGAATTGTTTAGCTACAGGTTAAAGATGATATGACATTGGGCCTCTGGGATAAACTGCATCTAGGTCTTCCTAGTTATTTGTTGTGATAGCAGGATTTGTGTTGAGATGGGGACAAAGCATCTTGATACTGTAGCTAGATTTCAATATAAATACAGTTTTAGCCATTGCAATCTGGATTTAGTTCTTTCATTGAGATTGTGATAGAGAATCTTGCATTAGCATATAATGTTGAATTTTCTGCTACGATTTGTCTTTTCATCACATATTTTTCTAATATGCTGTTAATTAGTGATATGTGTTTTTAAGCTGCAGTTTAAGATGATGTTCCTTTGCACTGTTATCCTCGACTTTGAAAGAGATTTGTGTAAATGTATTATTTTTATAGAGGAAATCATAGGTACAAGTACGGCAACTAAGAGAACAAGGGACAAAACTTTGTGATCAGAAGACTGTAGCCTTACTCTGTTGTTGCTAAGCAATGTCACGTTTATTTTGTTATGTTTCATATCTGTAACAGATGAAGTGTCATTTCCATCCAAGAAGGGTTTTTCAACACCAAATTGTTTTGATGCTTTTTTTGAAATTAAAGATTGAACTGAAATGATGAAGAAGTCCTTGTTGTGTTTAGTTAGAAGATCGGCTGTAAACTGATCAGTGTTTGTAAATATCCAAGGATGTGTGCATTAATAAGGCTTACACCCATTTTAGCTATAGTTGTGTCATTGATGTAGTTAGCAACACTGACGGAGCAGTTTGTTTTTACTCGGGTTGGGTGTATGAATCACAAAATTAACTTCACATGCAAGGGCTTTCTAATTATGCTGCGCATTATTGGACACTGTATAGTTCTCTCTGTTTTTGCTCCCTTTATTTCGAAAATTGTTTAGTCTGGTTTGTATCTGTTCTACAGTTGTTCAAATCTTGTATGTTCATACCCTTGCATTTCATTTGTATACAGATTTCCATCACATAGTTGGAAAATTGAGTTTCACTGATTCTGTTTCCCTGCCTTTGTTGTCATTGAAGGAAATTGCACTGATAGATCTGCCTCCAACACATCCCATAAGGCTTGGTCTTGCACTCAACTTCTCTGTCTTTTACTTTGAGATACTGAACTCATCTGACAAAGCTTGCAGTATGGCAAAACAGGTAAAATTTAGTGTTTATGGTAATATGCTTCATTTGCAGTTTTATATGTTCTGAGCAGGCTGAACTGTTGTTTAACTTTGACTAATAAAAGAGCCATCGAATAAAGTCGGGGAAGGGTAACTGAATATCGATGGTGAGATGCAGTGAAATATGTAGAATGCAAGGCCAATAGAGTGGTGTCTCAGGGAGAAGAAAGTGATCTGACTTATTAGAAAAGGGAGAATTAATGAGTGGGAAATGGATGGATAGGACGAGAGAGGACAAGTCGGAGACAGCTGAATCCAAGTGATTTAGAGAAGTGGGTTGACAACTTAATATAAGAGAGATGACTGTAGGATAAGTTATTTAAAAGCAATATGTAGAAATGATCTGCTTCGGTGCGCGTATATTCTTCTTCTAACGTTTGCATAGCATAAGTCAAGAGCTAGTGTACTGTTAAAATGTTGGTGAAGTTAGAAATTGACAACAGTCCTACCTATCCATTTAGTTTTGGCTATAAAACTGATTTATAGTCAAGGTTAACCTAAAGTGCTAGTTGGTTAGGAACCTTGAGCCTTGTATTTGCTCCTCTTCAGATTGAAGGTAACCTGCAGATCAAACATTTAGGTTTTGCCATCAGTGTCTATGGTATCTATATTATGCTTACGCATGCCAGTTGATCTAGTTATATTAAGAGCGATCCATATCTTTGCATTTGGGATGATTTTGTTTGTCTACTTGTTTAGGCATTTGAGGAAGCCATAGCTGAGCTGGACACTTTAGGCGAAGAATCATACAAGGATAGCACCCTCATAATGCAACTCCTACGAGACAACCTCACACTTTGGACCTCAGATGCTCAGGTATGTGCTTCTGTTGAAGGTTGCCATCACATGCACACACGTACTCACTCTGAAACTTGATGTTATTACTTATGAAACTTTCTTTAATTGTTGTCATGTGGTTAATGCAGGATCAGTTGGATGAATCTTGATTGGCATGGTGTCTCTATTTAGGAATGGGCTCTAAATGTTGTTTGCTTTGTTGTGCTGACTTATTGTATAAGAAAAAAGACAGCTTCGCTTGACATATGTTATGTTTGATATTTGACTAGTGGTGGTTTGGTACTTGGAAATCTAGTTAGATTATTTATCTTACTGCAATGGAACCTTAGTACTGTGTATGAGAAAAAAACTTTAATGAATGCTTGTGTCTTTGAGGACGTTTCAGTGCTATTGTAAACTGTTGATAGCTCATCCAATTGCTAAAAGTTAAAAATATAGTGTAGCTCTTTGATGTTTCTAAATGTATAGAAGCAAATAATTCTGTGAGTGATGATGCATTCCGATGATTAGAAAATATGCAACTGCTAGAAGAGCTGAGTTGGTGAATTTTAGTCACCATATATACAAAAGGCAATGCCCAAAATCACCCGTGAATGTAAGTTAAGAAGGATACTATTTAGAGATAGATATAAGACCTCACACATCAAGAGTCAAGACTAACTACACAGTTTAAGTAACAAGTACTTAGAAAATACCAAATAACACATACATTTGTCTTTTGACTCTTGAGTTACAGGCTCAAGGTTGAGCAAGCTTGTCTTGGCTAAATCATTCATCCCTTGTGCTGTTCTTGAGCCATTCTAGGTACTGTGGACTGCCACCAACTATGGGCATGGCAATCACTTCAGGAACACTGCAAAAAACAACCAAGAGAAGGATCAAAATAATCCATGCACTCTCTCCATGCCTAAGACCAAGCATGAATGTTTGAAATTTTTGGAGCAGAAACAGCAGCCTCACGGACTGGTAGAACGTGAAGTGTGTCGAATCAGGCCTTGGGCCTAACTCAAACCCCAAAAGCTAAGCTCAAAGGAAGGAGGATTGCCCAAGCTGAATAAGGAGCTCGGGGTTCTCGTTGCAGTCTGAATGTGGGATCATTCTCATCACAAACACATTACTTCCTAAAACCACTTTTTAACATTCAAAAGGATGATCTGTGCCAGGTTTGTCTAACTAATGCAGAAAATAAGATGGTCGAACATTAAATGACAAGTTAAAAACTGAAGAAGCACTGATGTCTTATAATTGGAAGAAAAAAAAAGAAGCAAAGATGCAAGGACTTACTCATATTCATGGTTGGCCTTCACGTGCTCCGTAAGAGCTTCTAAAAGGGATTCCCTGGTCTTGATTATAAGCAGCTCTTCAGAATCGGTCTGTACCTGTTAACAAAAAAACAAAAAGCAAAACTACTCTTACGAAACAACGCGACACATATAGTGTACAGGGGCAGAGCCAAGTAGGTTCATCCAAACCTCTTTGAACGGAAACTACATTGTTTATACATGATAAATTATTTTTTATGTATATATAGTAAATGTTGAATCCCCTTTGACTTCTTTGTGTGTTTACTTTTTCATATTTTAAATCCTTTTAGTGAAACTCCTATCCCTGCCACTGATAGTGTATCGAGAAAAGTTGATTCCAATCAAAATTGAAGAGTCTTTTGAAGAAGAGACTTACCTCTCCTTGCCACTCGTAAACCGATTCTACACCTGCACACACAGCATATCAATTCACTTATGCATCCACAAGCTTCTTGATGTACTAGTCATAACTGTAACATGTTAACATAGAAAACAGGACTTCTGAGGAGACCAACTAATCTAATAATTTTAGCTTGAATTTGAGTAACTCCGCAACCAAGAAGACTCCTACACATGTAAGGGAATGCTGAGGGAGACATACACAGTTAAAATGCACTTGGTGTTTTGCCAGACATAGGTTAGTAAATATTGAAGCAATGTCACAAACAGAAACAAACAAAAGCCTAGTTGATACACCTTTCTTTTACAAAATACATAACTGTGCAGATGCCCCTGGACAGAGCCGGTTTATAGAAATCAGTACCAATTACCAAAACCTACAGTTTATATCCCTTCCAACCCCAAAAATTCTTCCATATTATCAGAGGATCTCAATAAGGTTCAATCTCTGGAAGGGAGTATAGTCAAACGCACGCAACAGTACAGGCAGTAAACAAGAGAAACGGCAATTTATTCAAGTTCATATATGCAAATTGTTTCATGCAAGTGATAAAGAATCAAAATACCTAAAAAACTAATGGTTACCTACATTTGAAGGAATCAAACTTTTAAGTTCAAGAGCAAAGTGTTACTAGAAAATGATGTGGAATTAGCACTCTTCTAATTCAATTCATGACAACAAGAGAGAACCACACTTTCCCAAGAACATCAGTATTAGCAGCATGTTGAACTGAAGTTGAATTGCTTAAGTCTAAACATGCAAATGATGGTAAAGATACTTTCAGAGATGGGTCATTCGTTTAGTGCAAGACAAAAACATGAAGGTTACTTTGTCTAGTTAGAGAATTAATAAGGAGTTGTGCTCGCCTGGTACTCGATTAACACATGCTGCAAGTTTCTCCTTGACTATGCTCCCTGCCAGTTTCTTACCTGCAAAATAGTTAGAATCCAAGATCATGATGCTAAAGTTCCATCCATAGCATCAGTAATCACAGAGATTATATAAAAGTAATCGAAAAGATAGCATCATCAGATATTAGTGGAAAATTATGCTGAAACCATCTTTACATAACATGTTTAAATTAGTACACTTGGACAGATAATAAATATTGCTTCAGACTATTGGCACTTTGATACAAGTTGAATAGAATAGTGCAGATTCTCCCTTTTTGTTCAGACAATGACTAAGATTCACAAATCTAAAGAGCTCGAATCCGAAGAATGGAACTAAAAGCACACCAGAGAGAACCAGCAAAGGAAAAAACACATATGTGATCCCCAGACCAAGCGATCACATGAATCAAGTTCAAGTCTAAACAAAACTCAACAGTCCAAACAGGAATCATAATTCAGCTAGAATCCTCACGAAGATTACAATTTTACTGAAGGATTCACAGAAAAACAGCAATCATCAAGAGATAATAAAATCAAATGCCCAAACTACAAAAAAGAAGAAAAAAGAGATAAAACAAACCCAATTCTTTGTTAGGAACAGTGACATAAACAACAATGCTTGGAACAATCTTGTTGCTAGCTTCCATTCTTATTCTACTAACACTTGTACTCCGTCTTTCTCCACTTAATTTAGACCTGAAAACGTCAAAACAAAACCAACCCAGATATCATTTTTCACTAAAACCCACAATCCAATTTCAATATTCTGATCAGAAATCACAAGAGAAATGAAAAATTACCGGAAAAGAGGGGCAAAGGGAAGTGAATGAGCAAAACCAGTATTAGTAAACGGGACAGAGAGATTAGAGAGACCAAAAGTAAGAACACAGAAAGCGCCTACTATGGGCAATGTCCGACGGAATAAATTCGATGATGCTATTGCTGAGAGTGTTAATGCCATTGATATCTGTTCTGCTTTTATAGTATTTGCTTATTTTCTTGATTCCATTGTTAACCAAAAAGCAAAGAATTGTTGAAAGCCTGAAACTTTCTAGAAGAAACTAAACTTGGGCTTTGTTGTTCATATCCAACGTGAGGCCTCTCTGAAAATGGGCTGGGCTGGGCTAGATAGTTACCAATAGAAAGAGCTTTCTTTCGGAAGGCCTGGTTTCGAAAGATGACCTAACGAAGGAAGACTTGAAAGTTGGTGAGTCAAGTAGTCAAATGAGCTAAATTTTCGAGTTTTCTTGGATAACCTACCAGATAAGGTGGATTGCGAAATGATCCTGACTTTGCTATAATTTTCATAATTGCGCTCCATAGCTATAGTTCAGTTTGCTATGGAGATTGCGGTTTGTATATTTTGCTTGCAAATATACAAACAAGGTAAGCATATACAAATAGAGTATGTGATTTGTATATTTCGCTTGCAAATATACAAACAGGGTAAATATATACAAAGTTTGTATTTATACATTTATGATTTTTTTCAAAACTCGGTTTGTATATTTCGCTTGACAATATTCAATAGGGTAATTTATTATGAATTTTTCATAAATCGTATACAAATAGCTAGGGTAAGCATATACAAATTCTGGATTTATACAATTAGGAATCGAATTATATAAATTCTAAATTTATACAAACAAAGACTGAATTATACATATTCTGGATTTATAAAATTAGGCAACCGAATAGCAAAATTTCGCAAAACTGTAGTTACGGATTAAAAATAATCAAAACAATTGATATATAACATAATATACTCTAGATGTTTGTCATTTCCCATAATTTTTTCAAATAAATATTAGTCTAACGTTTAACTTTATCTGAAAGAGTAATTTTTCAAGCCTTGTGTTTTGTTGTTAAATCTAAAATATATGAGGCCTCTTTGAAATTGGGCTGGGTTAGTAAATTGGGCTTGTTGAGAGCCTCATTAAAGCCATGATTTCATATTGGGAAAATTACGCGATGAAAGAAACTTATACTACTTAATTAATTATTATAGCTATAGTTTGCTATAATTATCACTCGTGACTAACGTTAACTGCTAATTACGTGGGTTGGATTCGAGTTTGTATAATTAACCACTTTTGTATAATTCGTCACGTTTGTATAATTCGCAACTAACAATTCTTCGTTTGATTTGTATTTGTATATGACAGTGATTTCCTTTGGTTTTTCAGTTTTATCACCAGATACATTCAATCTTTTTTGTATAACTTTTTAAAGTTTGTATAAACGTGTAGTTTTCAGATTTTGTATAATATAATTTAATGTAATTTGTGTATAACTATTTTAAAGTTCAGATGTTTATGTTTGTATAAATTAATTATATCGAGTTTTCTCATATTTGTATAATTTCAGAATTTGTATTACTCAATTATACAAATACGTACACACGAATTATACAGATGTACCCGCAAATTATACAAACGAGATGTGAATTATACAAATTATTGCTCTCTCTCGCTCGTCTCTCTCCTCCCTCTCCCAATCTTGCTCGCCTCTCTCCCCCCTTTTCCAGTCTCGTTCGCCTCTCTCCTCCCCTAACATGTAGCTACAAATCGTAATTAGCAAACTACAACTAGAGCCTAATCAGGTTATTTTGAGTGGCTATATGCGAAAATTTCTCTTTCTTATTCCCCCTTTCTTTCTCATGTTACTCTGGAAATTAGAATTATATCAACAATGACAACATATTCACCGTAATTCTACGAGTAGAAATATTTAAATTATATCAATCAAATGTAATTTCATTGCAGGAATATCTAATAGTGTGGCGTAGCAAATACTAATAAAGTAGGTGAAGAACATAGAGAATAATGATTTAAATTCCAAGAAAAACAAAATGCTAGGTAATTTTTTTTTCTAATATGTCTTGAGACTTTGTTACAAAGTAATTATAATAGTTATGTACTTATACAAGATAATATACATGACATTTTGATGCTCTAAAATTTCTGCTACGCATAGCGGCATAGGGTTCGAAAAAAGGCCTCGCAAAGGTCCATCCTAAGTTTGTCCTTTTTACCTTCTTTTTTTCTATTAAATTAAATTTTATAGGATCGTTGACCTAAGTTTTTAAAATGGAAAAATTCCAAATATATGAACGTTTTGTTTGACATATAGAGTAGATGCATGTAGCTTGATCTATGACTAAAAAAATAAAATTGCAAAGCCAAGGGACCCTTTCAAGATTAACAGTAAAATAGATCTCAGAAAAAATAATAATTGAAGTGTCAAGTAGTAATAAATTTAATTACCAGAAAAGAAAAAACAAAGTCAGTTTAGTTTGTATGCACTTACAATTAGTCGGAGATAAATTTAAATTTTAAACGGTATGGATTCGAGTTTGAACTTTTTTATCATAATTTATTTTAATTTATCATTAGTGTTTTTTATGAATGAGTTGATGGAAGTTCTCTCAAATTTCTCTAGCTACAACAAACTTGTGTCGTAATTTTGAAATTAATTGTTCACAACTTATGATAGAATACAGAAAATATCAAAAATATTTTACGATCACCATTTTGAATTTTACATGTGTTACTATAAAAGTTGTCCTCTTGCTCATTATTAATAAATCATAGTTTTTAATTATATTAATCGAAACATATAGTTTAACTCATCAAAATAATTTCATTAATAAAATCACTAAATTTAAATTAATAAACTTATGGAAAGGACCAACGAATCTATATTTTCAAGTCAATATAAAGAAGTGATTAAATTCGTACAAAATCGACGTGTACTCCAAATCTACCAATTAAAATCTTTTAAACACATAGAGCATCTTGATAGTCATATACCTGTAAACTTCAACTTTTAAATTATAAATTAATTAGGTTAAGATTATTTAGCTGGAAAATGTCCAATAAGGACAAGAATCCCCTAATTTTGAGCAAATAAAAATACTTTTTCTTCTTGTACCACTAAAGATTGCGGTGCAGTTACAAGTAATCATAATGATTTTCGATTTGAATTATGAGAATGAAATTTATTTGGTACGAAACACTTTATTTTGAAACTCAGTCTTTCTAAGATAAAGTTGAATTAGTTATCAATTGAAAATGGATATTAAAGTCAGACTTCCTAACGCAAATTTGGATTAGGCCATAAAATAAATATCAGAGTATGCAGTGGCCGGTTTACATTGAATTTTTTGTAAGCGCTATCACCATTTTAACATAAGCAATACATTGTTCTCTCTCTCCAGCGGTGTCACCTTCACCATTTTTGCATCTTATTTCACTTTACATACTACACATGTGTGTATTTCATAAGAATTTTCGATACAAATACAAATCAATTAAGATTCAAAATGGATTTAAAGACAATTTTTTGACACAAATTCAAATTAATCAAATCTAAAGCAGTTATTAGAGTTAGACTTTGTAACGAGGTCTAGAAACAAATACCAAACACCACACAAAAATAAGCTCTTTTTTTAATTTTATTTTCCCCCAATTTCCCAAACAAGTGGTCCCTTCTTTACTCCCAAATGGAACCAAACGCAAACAGCACGAATTTTTATATAAAAAGACATAATTTGGAAGTAAGACAAGAAGCTTTAATAATCCAATGCTAATTTGTTTAGTGTTTAGTAGAATGTAAAATCACCAATAAAACTTTGAAGAGATGTCCCTTCGTGGATTAATTTATTCATTGTATGAGATTATTTTATTTCGTATTAAACTTGCAATGAAAACACTAAAAATATGGATGTTTGGGGTAGTTGGTCCAACATACGATGGTTTTGGACCACCATTTGATAGACGTATGTATATAGTTGTATACGTCGATGTTACTATTAATATTGTTCGTATACGTATAGTATATAGTATTTTGAATCAGTGCCGGCTCTTGCTTGATAAATTTAAGGCACATGCCTTAGGCCCCCAATTTTTTGGGGGCCTCAAATTTTCATCAAGAAAAAATTATGTGTTAATTTTTTTAATTAAAAAATAATTATTTTTACTTAAAAAGTATAATTTTAAACAAATATATATTATTTTATTATTTTTAACTCCAATCAAATAGAAGAAATTAAGAAAACATTATTTTGTATGTTTACATTCTCTTCGCTAACACTTGTATTATTTATCTTTTTAAAATTCTTTTGCACTTTCTTTTTAATTTTTTTTGATAAGTTAGAGTAATACACTGTCAAAAATATAAATTAATAGTCGAAAAAATTCAACAAAGTGACTTACAATTTTTCTTTTGTTTGTTTCTTCTTAAATATTCAAGTATTACATAAACATATTAAAGTAGGGTTATAACTTATACCAAGTTATCAATTTCTTGTATCAGATTTTATGGTTCTAATTCTTATCTTTATGTAAAGCTTGTCAACTTATTACTTATAGTATTATGTTAACAATTTATATAATGATTGCCTCAGTAAAAGAATATTTTTCAATGTTGAATTGATAAAATATTACTTAAAATTAATAATTAAAAACGATATTTGAAAAAAAACATTTTAAGAAAAGATATCAAGTAATAATTTGCACTTAAAAAGTTTTAAAAAATAAAATACTATATTTGATATTTATATAGATTTTAGGCCTCAATTAAAATTTCGTTTTAGGCCTCAAATTACGTTGAGCCGCCCCTG